TACTTTTTCATTGAAATTAATGTCATTTTTAATTAAAGTATTCTCTATAGACAACATGGAAAGTGCTGATAACCTGTCCTCACACATTGAATTTCTTAAAAAGTTTTTCACTCGTTTCAAAGTTGAAAAGCATCGTTCCGCCTCTGCCGTTGACATTGGGATTGTTATTATTATCTCCAGCAATTTGATGGTCTCTTTAAATGTTTGTTCCAAATTATTTACTATAATCATATTTAAAAAAGCTACAGCCCCATTGGTTTCGCGAAAATCAGGCCTCATATAAATGATAGTCAACTCAGTTCGCAAACGTTCAACTTCAAATACTGGATATGCTGCAACTGTAGTCTTGAATACATCATCGGGAAATGTTTTGGAGTAATTATCAAAGTGATCGGAAAAGAATAAAGTTGATGCAAGCAAGTGGCCACTGTATTCAAATCTAGTTTTTGCCGTTTGTATTATGACATCACAAACCTCAAGAGCTGATGCGCGTAAATTTTCTTCTGAAACTCGTATTCGTTTCGAAGCAGATTCTGATTCGAATTTAAACAGTTCTTCGCCTCTCTTAATAACAGATTTAATATTTTTTCGAACATTATTAATACAGTTTTCAAAAGTATCGATAGCACTTTTAATTACTACAGGATCAGTTTTTCTTGTTTGTAACTGGTTATACAAAATATCAACATGTGGCATAATGTTATGAAAAATATTCAGCCAAAACAGAAACACTTTATCATAAAGTAATCGTTCTATAGCACTCGCTTGATTGATAGCTTTTGCATTGGAAAACTGTTCCTGAATTTGTTGCATACACTCTATTAAAGAAGTTCTATATTCATAAATTATATTTACAGCTCTACTTTTAAAGTTCCAGCGAGTTTGAACAGCACGCGGTATTCTCTTCCCCACCACTTCAGTTAATACATCCAATCTTTGAGGAGAATTTGAAAAGAAATTAACGACGTCATCCACGTTGGAAAAAAAAACACGCACTTGCATGTTTTGTGAAGCTGCTTGCGACATTATCAAATTTAGCTGGTGAGCGTAGCAATGCACAAAATAGGCCAGGGGATATTTTTCTCTTACTCTTGTATGAACACCGGCATGCCTACCGCTCATAACAGCCGCGCCATCGTAAGCTTGAGCAATCAATTTATTACAATTGTCTTTCAATAATGGATCAAGTACGGAACGAATAGAATGTGTTAAATACTCAGCATCGTGCTTTTCCGGATTTATGAATCCCCAAAATCTTTCCACGGGACTGCCTTCGTGTACGTAGCGCAAGACAACAACCATTTGAAATTTTGAAGAAACATCTGTAGTTTCATCTGCCATGACGGCAACATAATTTGACTGATTAATTTCAGTTATTATTTTGTTTCTGCACACTTCAAGCATGCACTGTAGAAGATCATTCTGTATATCTTTGGAAGTTCCTTTAAAAATAGTAGCCCTTTCTAGATGTTCTTTCAATATGTCGTCAAGATCTGCACTAAAATTTATGAGTCCACGAAACACACCAGGGTTGTCCGAATTTTCTGTCTCGTCGTGTCCGCGAAGTGCTAATTCGAAAGCTCCGCAAAATTTTATGCAATCTATGATTTTAGATAATACATAACGATTTTTCGTTACCTGTTCATCATGTTTCCGTATATTTTCCCAATATGCAGAATCTAACTGTCTTCTTATGTTTATTTTACCTAATAGGGCCAAGTTCACCTCATTTGACAAATGATTTTTTGTTTTTTCATGTCTCTTGATGCTCTGACTTAAATGACTCAAATCTTTCACACCGTATATTGTCCATGCTTTATCCCCACCAAAAAGTAAGCACGGAAAACAAAACAGTGCATTTTTTAAATCACACCCGCACATCCACTGTTTTTGCGTATATATTATTGTTAAATTGTCTTTTGTAACTTTTACTACGGCTTGTTGCACTAACTTCAATATTTAATTCTGGTGTTGGCCTACCTAATTCTTTTATTTTTAGTTTATCCTCATAAGGCAGAAAACCAAATAAAGTTTTTTGTAAAAACGAAACACTATTCATTTTAATAACTATAATATAATATCCGTAGACGCCCAAACGAAAATATTCACACGTGTCCGCCAAATACCACGAACGAAATATTACTGCATTTCAGCAGCTTGGCGCTGTCGGTATTAGCGACACATAACTCCCATTTACGCCTGTACTGGGTCACGTGCCTGATTAGCCAATAAAAACAAAGGACGCATCTAATTGCTCGCTGTGAGCACATTTTGTATATGAGGTTGCATATATTAAGATTATTAAGGGGCGTAGCTCGCGTCGTAATAAATAATAATATAAGCTCCCAGATTTATTTTAGCGCGAGTACATTTGGATTCTTTAAATATTTTGTTGATGTTTAATATGATTAAATACATAAAATTTTATGTGTTCTGCAGCTCCGCAGCTCTTATGGTAAAACCGCCACTGTAAAAGCCTAAATAAATTACATATTTATACTATTCTTGAGTTATCAGTTCTCTGCAAAAAATACACCACAGTCGAACTCCAAAGGCTTTCAGCTATACGCAGAAAACAAAGCTTCTTTCAAGCTTCGCTACAGACTGTCCACGGAGTTGGACAATGCATAAACATTAGTGAATAAGGATAGTGATCTTCAGACACTAGGACATCAGTCCCGAAAAAGTGCCAGGGTGATTAAAAAAAACGCGTATCAAAACATTTTTTCTAAGTGTCCTAAGTTGTAAAAAACTTAAATCGTTTCCAGTATTATTCCATACATATCCAGGGTGGTCGCGATTTAGACAAACTCACCTTAGTCCAAAAGTTGATACAGAGATACAGGGTGTTTAATGCAAAATATCATTTTAGTTTTTTCTTATTTATTTCATAATAAATGCTCATATCGAGATGAAATTTTGGTGTTAGGGGTTTTCTGGGGCGAGAGATTGAAATATATCCATGGTTTGCTTGTAGCTCATAGAGAGCGCCACCTGCGCTAGGTCGAATGCGTTGAAAACGACAGAACTTTTTTATCTTTCAAAAATCTAATTCTCAGGTAGCAAATTCTGATTTTACAACTTCTTTTACACAAAAAAGCTATACTTTTTGATAGTCGCTATCTTGCACCGTTCTCGTAAAATTTGCCATTGAAAATTCCAATGTATTTGCATTCAATTACAAATCGGCAAAAATTTTCAAGTAGGCTTATGTTAAAATCCAATTTTGACATTTTCCACTTATCTTAGTGCTGTCAGTAATATTACAGTATTATTCGTGCCTTATTAAAAGTATTCTTTACTTTATGATCTAAATCGTAGTGCGAGATAACATGCCACGCCATAATTTATTTTCAAATGGAGAAATGCGCGATATGGTTTGCGTTTATGCGCAATCAGATTATGTTGGACGTCGAGCGCTTCGTCGGTATTCAGAGTTGTATCCGAATAGAAGGCAACCAAATCGGAAACTATTTCAAGAACTTTTTAATAGACTTGGAGAAACTGGTAGTTTTCGTCCTAAAAGAGACAACGCAGGGCGTACTGTTACAGTTCACCAAGAAGAAGAAATTTTAGTAAGAGTGGCAGGAAATCCAGAAGTTAGCAGCAGGCAGGTAGCTAGAGAAACCGGTGTTAGTAAAACAACAGTTCTCAAAATCTTTCACAAGGAAAATTTATATCCCTACCATTTTACACCCGTGCAAAATCTTTTAGCAGCAGACTTACCAGCTAGATTACAATTTGCTCATTTTATGCGCAATCAGCAAAACCTTGACCAGGAATTTTTGGATAATGTACTATTCACTGATGAAGCGACCTTTACTCGTCGAGGAATTTTCAATTTTAGAAACAAGCACATATGGGATAATGAAAATCCTCACGTAGTCAGTGAGCGTCACTTCCAACATGAATTTAAGATAAATGTTTGGTGCGGAATCATAGGAAATCACCTTTTGGGTCCACATGAGCTTCCTCCAAATCTAAATGGTGACTTGTATTTAGATTTCCTGCAGCACCATTTAGTTGACTACCTCGACGATTTACCACTGAATACACGGCAAAATCTATTTTTCATGCAAGATGGAGCTCCCCCTCATTATTCTGTCAGAGTACGGAACTATCTTGACCACATTTTTCCGGATCGTTGGATCGGTCGTGGGAGTCGAATATTATGGCCTCCTCGTAGTCCTGACTTTAATCCTATGGATTTTTGTTTCTGGGGCTACATGAAATCAGTTGTCTATAGAGAAACTATAAACACCCGCGAAGAGCTATGGCAGAAAATTGTAAATGCCGCCGAATCATTTCGTAACAAGAATCTCTATTTTAAAATACGGCAGTCTTTGAACAAACGCGTTAATAAATGTATTGAAGTTGGAGGCGGACATGTTGAACATTTATTGTAATATTCGATATTCAATTGTTCATCACAATTTATAATTTGAAATAAACTCTTGTTCTTTTTGACATTCGTACCTTATTTTGATTACTCGAATTACCAAAGCTAAATATCTTGAGAACGGTGCAAGATAGCGACTATCAAAAAGTATAGCTTTTTTGTGTAAAAGAAGTTGTAAAATCAGAATTTGCTACCTGAGAATTAGATTTTTGAAAGATAAAAAAGTTCTGTCGTTTTCAACGCATTCGACCTAGCGCAGGTGGCGCTCTCTATGAGCTACAAGCAAACCATGGATATATTTCAATCTCTCGCCCCAGAAAACCCCTAACACCAAAATTTCATCTCGATATGAGCATTTATTGTGAAATAAATAAAAAACTAAAATAATATTTTGCATTAAACACCCTGTATCTCTGTAAGTATCAACTTTTGGACTAAGGTGAGTTTGTCTAAATCGCAATATTTTCACGTCAGGAATCTAGTCATGAATTTTGGCCCATTACATCGTGACCACCCTGTATATCCACCTACCACAATACCAAGTTTTTTTTCAAATTATCTGTACTTAATAAAAATTTCTAGTAGACATAAAATTACTTACCCTCTATTAATTTTGATAAATTATCTAGAAGTGATCCATCACATTTAGAAATCTTATCCAGAGGTTTATAAACCTTTTTCCAATTTGTGTAATACCCTTCGGGTTCAGTCCCTCCGCCTTTTCCCTTACAAGAGTTAATATAAGTTGAACTGCGTGTGTCAATAATATATCCTTTTTGAAAAGGCCCTAATATAGCATTCAAAATTTTTTCATCTGCTGCGCATCTTCTATTACAATTATTTAATAGTGGCTGACTGGATCTTAAAAGGATAGTACCATTTTTGTGTTTATAACTAAATACTGGAAATCTTCCGCCTTGACGAAAATTTGCTGATGCGATTATAACTTCATCATCAATAATTTTAGGAACAATTAATGTAGCGCTGTACGTATTGCAAGTGCTATAATTTTTGTTAATTATAGAAATCCTCCATTCATCAGATGCTATAAGTTTGGTAAATTCACTTTCAGGCTTAAATAATGCATAACCATTTTCAAGGATGTTATACATTGGACGATAAAAAAATGGATAGAGCAATTTTATATTATTTAAATTTGCGAGACGTTTAATAGAAATGTATAAATTAAGAAATTCAACAGAGTCAGGTAATTCTAAATTAAAGATTCTAAAATCTTTGCATTTTATAACAATAGTGCCCCCATTTTGATTAGAATTTTGTATTTTTTCCACAGAGTCTATAGACTGATGTAAAAGCTAGAATAAATCAATATCAGAACGTCAGATATAAATGTGCTTATATTTAAAATTGTTTACCCATAATTCTTGGAAGTTCTTATGAGATTGTAGAATTAAATGATGACCTGTGATGCACAATGTTCCAGCAACTGATTCATGAAAAGAACTACTTAATACAACATCATTTAATTTAGGAGTAAGTATTAATGCATCAAATTCCATTTAAACAGTAAAATTTATAGCAATCTATTGCATGTTATATTAACTCAAACTAAACAAAACAGGATAAAGAATTCTGAAAAAGAAAAGAGCAAAAATAATTCACTGCTCCTATCGGATGTCAGGAAAACTAAAAACTTTATTCAGATTCAGAACATAGTGTATAGAAATATGGTAAACAAATTCCTTCTCCTTTTTAGTGCATAATTCCACTACCGTCTCATCAACGCCTGGTCTAAGCGTAATAGTAACTGGGTAAATCAATTTTACAAGGGCAATTTGAAAAATTGAAATGAAAGTACATTTTTGTAACAATGTATTGTCACGTCTGGAGGTTTTAACGTACACTTAGCTGCGACTGAGAAAAAATGAAAAACAAATGTGTGTAACAAAACTGTACTTTACTTCCATGGGTCCTGGTTGGTTACACACAAGGTTTTTAGAGAGAGTAGATTACACGGTAACTCCGCGCGGGGAAAGGCGCGTGAAGGGAGTTACACTTCATACAAATTACTAGATTTGTTTGCCTACATTTATACCTTGCAGTGAAAATTTTGACATAAAAACCCTCCTTACTACAGGGTGATCGAGAATGATTTACTTTGCTGCCTCACCCTCACACTGATTTTTGATGTGCGGCATACCAGTTTTTGATACCAATACTAAATTAACGGAGTTAAGTTTCTGTCAGCATTAACAATAGCCTGATATAATCCGGAGGTTTCCGCTTTTGTGAAAAAGTATTTCCGCAGGCGTTCTATTTGCTCCTTATGTCGAATACGTAGATCAGGTATTCCTCGTCCTCCATAGGATCTCGGTAAGTGGAATCGTTCTTTACAAGCTCTCGGATGATGGGTACTGTTCTGTGGTGGTGGTGGTGGTGGTGGTGGTGGTGGTGGTGGTGGTGGTGGTGGTGGTGGTGGTGGTGGTGGTGGTGGTGGTGGTGGTGGTGGTGGTGGTGGTGGTGGTGGTGGTGGTGGTGGTGGTGGTGGTGGTGGTGGTGGTGGTGGTGGTGGTGGTGGTGGTGGTGGTGGTGGTGGTGGTGGTGGTGGTGGTGGTGGTGGTGGTGGTGGTGGTGGTGGTGGTGGTGGTGGTGGTGGTGGTGGTGGTGGTGGTGGTGGTGGTGGTGGTGGTGGTGGTGGTGGTGGTGGTGGTGGTGGTGGTGGTGGTGGTGGTGGTGGTGGTGGTGGTGGTGGTGGTGGTGGTGGTGGTGGTGGTGGTGGTGGTGGTGGTGGTGGTGGTGGTGGTGGTGGTGGTGGTGGTGGTGGTGGTGGTGGTGGTGGTGGTGGTGGTGGTGGTGGTGGTGGTGGTGGTGGTGGTGGTGGTGGTGGTGGTGGTGGTGGTGGTGGTGGTGGTGGTGGTGGTGGTGGTGGTGGTGGTGGTGGTGGTGGTGGTGGTGGTGGTGGTGGTGGTGGTGGTGGTGGTGGTGGTGGTGGTGGTGGTGGTGGTGGTGGTGGTGGTGGTGGTGGTGGTGGTGGTGGTGGTGGTGGTGGTGGTGGTGGTGGTGGTGGTGGTGGTGGTGGTGGTGGTGGTGGTGGTGGTGGTGGTGGTGGTGGTGGTGGTGGTGGTGGTGGTGGTGGTGGTGGTGGTGGTGGTGGTGGTGGTGGTGGTGGTGGTGGTGGTGGTGGTGGTGGTGGTGGTGGTGGTGGTGGTGGTGGTGGTGGTGGTGGTGGTGGTGGTGGTGGTGGTGGTGGTGGTGGTGGTGGTGGTGGTGGTGGTGGTGGTGGTGGTGGTGGTGGTGGTGGTGGTGGTGGTGGTGGTGGTGGTGGTGGTGGTGGTGGTGGTGGTGGTGGTGGTGGTGGTGGTGGTG